GATGCTGATGATGATGCTGATGATGATGACGATTCCGATGAGGATGATGACGAGGTCGATGATAATGATGACGATGGTGACCAGGATGCGGATGAGGATAGCGATGCGGATAGAGGGTGATGGTATTGAGGCTGATGGTGGTGTTGATGCTTGTTATGAAGATGATGCTGATGATTATGATGATTATGATGATGATGATGACAATGATGGTGATCATGACGATGCTGATGCTTATGTTGATGCTGCTGTTGATGATGCTGCTGTTGACGATGATGGTGCATGGTGCTGATGCTGATGCTGCTGATGATGCTGATGATGACGACGATGGTGATGATCATCATGCCGACGAGGATGATGATGCTGATGATGATGCTGATGATGATGATGATGATGGTGGTGTAGATGACGATGGTGACGATGCTTATGCAGAGGTGGGTGACGAGGATGATGATGTTGATTGCGACGATGATGCTGGTGTTTTTGCTGATGATGCTGATGTTGATGATGCTGATGTTGATCGTGATGATGATGCTGCTGATGATGATGATGATGATGATGCTGATGCTGATGCTGCTGCTGATGATGATTATGATGATGATGCTGTATGATGCTGATGATGATGAGGAGGAGGACGAGGATGATACTGATGGAGGAGCCGGAACGGGGGAGACGAGGCGTTTCCTCGTTCGTCCTCCTCCCCATCCTCACCCTCCGCGCGGGCCATCGCTGACACGTGGCTGCGGGGTGAGCCAACGCCCGCAGCCGCCACCACGCGCGGCGCTGGACCTCCGAGCACAGTGCGCGATAAAGTACGACAGCCGAGGCAGGAGAGGGCGGAGGTAAGTCCCAACGCCACCAGCTACGGTGCGGAGAGGGCCGCATCCCGCCACAAGGAGTGGCTGGCGAAGGGATGCCGGCGCGGCAGAACGAGAGCCGCCAAGGCCCTGGCACTCGACGAGTGGTTGTTCGTCAGAGCCCCGAATCATCCGGGGTAACTCGGGTCAGGGTTAACTCGGGTTTCTTTTTCGGGAATCCGAACCCGACTTACCCCGGGCCCGAGTTACCCCGGATAATTCGGGCGTCCAGAGCCCCGAATCATCAGGGGTAACTCGGGTCAGGGCTAACTCGGGTTCGTTGTTCGGGAATCCGAGCCCGAGTTACTCCGGATAACTCGGGCGCCCAAGGAAGGCGAGAGCGGCGCCAACCCGCGCCATCGAGGGGCCCACAGGAAGCGAGCGGGGGCCCCCGCGGTGCGGCGCGGGTGGAGCGTCATCGGTGGTGGACGGAGCCGCGCACGGACGGCGCGGGCGGGCCCGTGCACGGGGGCTCCCTGGTGGCGGAAGTGCAGGAGAGGAGAGAACACACAGACACAATTAATCCTCGATTCCCCCGAAAATATGGGAACATATGGGAAGTGGGGGGGAAGACAGAAACCCCGAACATATGGGAAAATATGGGGGATATATTTGGTTTGTGTGTATTTATGTGTGTGTCCTGGGGCCCCTTCAGAAGTGGCAGCCGCGCCACCCAAGGGGGCCCCGAGGAGCAGCAGGGCGCCGCGCCGCGCCGAAGGCCCGCCAGGAGAAGCTGCGGCCTGGCGCGCGGCGGGCGCGCCGCGGGCCCGGCGCGCACGCTTAGCGCGCGGGCGAGGCGCGAGCCGCGCAGCTGGCGGGGGGAAAGGGCTGGGAAAGGGCTCCTCCTCCTCCTCCTCCTCTTCCTCCTCCTTTTCCTCCTCCTCCTCCTCCTGTTCCTCCTCCTCCCCCCTGCTCCTCCTATCTTCTGGTCCTCGCCTGTTCTCCCGTCTCTCCTCGCTGCTCGTCTGCTGCCCTCTCCACCCCGCCCTCCACTCCTCCGACCCCCTTCGAGGGGCGAGGGGAGGGCTGGGATGGATTGTTTGGATTGCGCCGCTGATGAAGCTCGTGGCCTGTCAGCAAAGGGCTGGGAGGGTGGGTGGGTGGCGAGGAGGAGTAGGGGGACGAGGCAGATGCGTAGGAAAAGGAAGATTAGGAGGCGGAGGAGGATGAGGAGGAGGGGGAGGAGGTGAATAGCTGACTGACACACTTGCGGTCCATTGACTGCTTCCATGGCAACCAACAAAGGAGCGGTGCGTTGAAGTTGCAGAGCTCTGAGATGTGTTCGTTGCCTTGATCGACGACGAGTGTCTAGATCGCTATGCGGTGGCATGCCTCTGGCCAATTCCAGGGGCCTCCGACCAGGGGGACCCTGCACGCCTCGGCCAGGCGCCGCACCGCTGTTGAGATCTCGCATGTGGCGTCGAGAGGCCGCCTGCACAGCTCGTGGGTGTGCAGCCCGAGCGAGCACGCGCGCGCACCCGTGCTTAAAGACACGGGGCGTGCAGCGAGCAGTGACACTTTGCACACGGGATCAGAGAGACGCGCGACCCACATTCGCACGAACGCCCCCCCCGGGCCCACCGCGTGGCCTGGTTTTGGGGGTCGTCGCATCACTGCCCCGGGCTTGCGGCAGGCGCAGCTGGTATAATCGAAGGCTGGCACGGAAGGCCACCCGTCGATGGTGGGCCCGACCATCAGATGCAACAGCATAGATTCGCGTGTCCATTCTCAGCTGGGTGGCTCTGACATTAGATGCACGCGTAGCAAGGCACATCCAGGACGTTCTGACCTGGAGAGGGGCGGCAGCGACTGCACAGAATCCTTGCCCCGCTGAGGTCTCATAGCACAGGCTGGGGTCATCACTGCGACTCTGGTAGAGGAGCCAGTCCAGCATGCTGCCATTTGTCATCACGGGTCATATCCGCCATACGAAAAGAAACACTGATGCTTGCGAGGTCGGCTACGTATCCGTCTCGTCTTCGTCGTCGCTGGCCACCTCGTTGGGGCCCTCCTGCATGCCAGTCGTGCCGAGGAACGTTCCGCCTCCCACTCAAGACCCCCCTTGGGTGGCCCGCCCGCCTCCCTGCGCCCCGTGGGCCCGGAGACTCCGGCGGACTGCTTGGCAGACCTTGCCCGCGTTCTCGCCATTCCAACACTCACCGTGGCCGTCTGGACCACTGCCGCGAGAAGGAACTGCAGCAGGAACCACTTGGGCTTCTCCTTTTCTTTTTGTTGAATTGCGTGGGCCTCACGCAGCAGTAATGCAGGATGACGATTAATAAAAAATGGGAGAGAACGATTAAACAATATGTTTTCCTGCTATTTCTGTAACATGTTCTGACTGGAGGAGAACGATTTAAAACATAGTTTTCCAGCCCGCGGCCGTTTTTTTCTAATCGTCATCCCGGGCGCCGCCGCGTGAACACGACCCCCAGTCATTTATTCATCGTCATCCTCCATTACTTGACCTTGTCGTGCAGCGCCATCAAGTTGTTGTCCGCATTGGCTATGGTCGCGTTCCAGCAGACCTGGGGTGCTCCTCTGGCCTTCTTCGGCGTGGTGTTCTTTGTGAGTCGGATCCTGATCAGCGCCGTCCACATGTGGGGCCACGGTGGGCCCAGACCATGCTCCTTGCCTGCTGCCTTGCGCGACGTCGCGTACAGTCGGGGCGCTGAAGAAGGAACCCTTGTCGTCTGGGAGGGGCTCCGTGTTCCTCAGTTGTTTCACTGTTTGTCTTAGTTTGACCTTCGGTTTTCCATCGGAAATCGAAGTTTCACCGATGAAGAAATGGGCCTCATTCCTGATTTAGGGTTCCGTAGGTCAACGCCCCCACTGTACTGCTTGCCCGCCTCCTGTAGAGGTAATTGTAGAGCGAGCGCAATCATGTGAGCCGCGGGGACTAGACAACAGATGAACGAAGCGCCAATCAGGCCGGCCACGTCTCGAGAGTTGGCCACGCACAGTTCGGTAAGAACTAGTACGATAGCTTCGAGAGGCCCGAGTTGCGTCGCCGTCATTGTCTTCTTTGTGTCCGCCCTGATTTTGCCGAGACGCTCCTTGCGGGTGCTCTTGTGAGGAGGTTTGCCGTCTTGGTTTCGAGCTCTGGTGCCCTTACCGAGAGGAAGAGCCCTGTTGCTGGGGTACATTCGATGCCGCTGCCATCCCCGCGGGTGAGGGCGGTGCTGGGAAACCGTCGGGCAGCGCAGACGATCGGTAGAACAGTAAAGTGTTCACGACAATGACGATGAAGTGCATCACGCTCGAGGCCAGATATGTTACAGAGTCCGCGTGTATACGTCGAACCATCTCCTTCGCCAGCTGTTCTAAACGTGTGAGACCCCCCCCATTACACATGTACCAGTGCGGGATGTTTTGACGACGTGCTTGTAGGCAGAGTTGCTGGCCTCGAAAGTCTGCCCGCAGACTAGACCCTGGTTGTCCGTAGTTAGAAGCTCCAAAATACTCTGCAGCCCATGCCTCTACTGGAGAGGAGGAGGACGAGGAGAAGGAGGAAGAGGAGGAGGATGATCATACTTGTTTGGGCCTCGCTCTGCATTTCCTGGAGTCGGTGAGGAAGAGGCGAGAGGCGGAATGCTTTTCGGGATCCTGGACGTTCCAGTTGGATCCTGCGGCGTCCTACGCGTCGAGTCCTGCTCCTCCGCCAGCGTGTTCGGCACTACCGCTCGGAGCACGGAACATTACGTTCTTCTTCCCCCCCTCATCCCCCCCGCCTTTCCTCATGCCTGCTCCTCCCCTCCTCCCTCCTCCCTCCTCCCACCCCTCCTCTCCTCCACCGTCCCCCCCCCCTCCCTCCCGTCCCTCCATCCTTCCCTCCCTCCCGCCCGCTCCCTGCCTCCCTGCCTCCCTCCTCGCCCCTCCCTCCCTCCCTCCCTCCCTCCCTCTCCTCCCTTCCTTCCCCCTCCCTCCCTCTCCTCCCCTCTCCTCCCTCTCCTCCCCCTCCCTCTCCTCCCCTCTCCTCCCCCTTCCCCCTCCCCCCCTCCCTCCCTCCCTCCCTCCCTCGCCTCCCTTCCCCCTCCCCGAGAGCGACGAAGGCCGCGGGCGAGCGTCGTGGCCGCCCTCCGTCGACGGCCGGCCGCTGCGCTGGCCCTTGCCGGCGGGGGGGGGGGGGCGGCTCGGCCGCGGGAGGTGCGCGGCGGCACGATGTTCTGACCCGGGCGGGCGCGCGCCACGCGGGGGAGGTCGGGGGCAACGGTAGGGGGGGGGGTGGGGCGCACGGTGCCGTTTTTGATGCATGCTCCGCGTGCGGATCATGCATTCAAAATGCAGGGATTCAGCACGAAAAACAGCGATGAGCTCATGCATACATGTATTCATAATTAGATTAATCATGTATTTTAAATCCTATATTTCAAAAACAAATCCCATGTATTAAAAACTGCCCTGTAGGGGGGGATGCATCGGCCCCCAATCGCCCATTGATCGCCGATGGGGGCCCGATAGCCCCAGTCTGCCCAGGAAGGTGCGGATTCACTGTCTGGGGCATGCTGCCGATCTATCGGGGATGTGTCGCCGATTCCAGGTTGATGCATCCCCCCCATATGCCGTTCCCCCCCTTATCGTTGCCCCTCAGAAGAGGACTCGGGGCTCGTTTCGACTCCTCCGATGTTCAAGTCGATTCGATCTCCATGGTTTCCGATTCCGATTCGATTCGACTCTGGGTTCCGATGTCGGGTCCGCTTTCTCAACGGGGGCCAACCAGCCTGCCGATGTCTGCCGATGGGGCTTCTCCCGATTCAGCTGCCGATTTCCGCCGATTCGATTCATGTCGATTGCCGATTCGAATTATCGGCTCGATCCTGGGCTCTCCTGAGGACTCGAGAGCTCGTTTACACTCGAAGAAACGCCATAATTATAAACTTTTGGCGCTTCGCGCGGTTTTCTTGGATCCGCCATGGCCCCCCCCTTGGCGGCGTCTCTGGCGCCGCCTCTGGCGCGCTCCGCGCGCCAGGGAGGGGGGTCCAGCGCAGATCAAAGAATTCCGTGCGGAGTACCAAAAGTTTGTGTTTATGGCGTTCTTCCAGGAGTGACCGCCCAATGGGACCCCCCGATCGTTGCGCGCGAAGCGGTAGTAGCGTCCTGCGCGCCTTTGTCTGGCCCCCCCCCCCGCGGCCCCCCGAAACGCCGCGCACCAGAGGTCACTCTCAACCGGTGTCACTCCTGCGTCCAGCCGATCCGCATCCGCGCCCTCGCGGTCCGGATCCCGCGGCTCTGCGCGGTCGCACGGTGACGCTCCGCGCAGAACCGCCGCGAAAGCAGGCGCCCCGCATCTTGGCATCGCTCGGACGTGTGCATTGTTCCTTCGGCGAGGGCCATCGAGGAGCATCCTTGATCATTTGGCGAAGAAGCCTCGCACGAGACCGAACAAAAGCACAGGGAATGGACGTCCGAGCGATGGCGAGGCATCCGCGGGGCTCCGGGGCCCGGTCCGCCAGGCCGCGGCTACGGATCTGTGCTTCCCCCACGGAGCGCCCTCTTCTTCCGAGGCGGGGCTCTCTCAGCCGCCGCTCTGGGTGCTGACCTTCGGGGACCTCGGCAGGCGGTGGCTGTGGATCTATTCGGGGCCCCCAGGGCCAGAGCAGAGCCATGTCCACCGCCCGCTGGGGTCCCAGGGCGTTTCTGTTCCCAGGCGGGGGACACGTGGAGATGTCCCCGCCTCGCAGCGCGAGGCCTCCCAAACGGGGTCCGAGCAGAGATGGGGTGGGAGGATGTGCGCTGCACCGCCGATGCATCGGCGATGCGGCTCGACATGGAGCCCGGTGTTCTCCACGCCGACGGCACCGATGCATCGCCGATGCATTGGCGATGCGGCGCGATCCTCCAGTCCCATCTACTCGGACCCAGTTCGATGGAGGCCGCGAGGATCGAAATAGGGACGGATTTCATGGGTACGATGACTGGCATCAAGTCCTGGTCTTTTTGAACACGATTCGCCGTCAGTGTCGCCGCGAAGGTTATCAGTTTCGGACAAGCGTCGCCTTCCCCCCAGCAGCGGCCACTGTCCGACTGGGGCAGCATTTTGCTGTTGGACATCGTCCCCGTGTTTGCCCGTCCCCTTCTGGGCGGGCCGGAGGGGGTTGTGCTAGGGGAGCGAACAATGACGTAAACATAACTCGGAGGTCCGCGCGGATTTCTCGGATCGGCGCTTGACCCCCCTCCTTGGCGCGCGGAGCGCGCCAGAGGCGGCGCCAGAGACGCCGCCAGAGCGTCGGAGGCGCCGCCAGGGGGCCCCAGCGCCGATGCAGGAGCTCCGTGCGGACCTCCGAGTTGTTCTGTTCATGCTGTTGCTCGTTCCCCCTATGTGCACCTCGTCGCAGTCTGGCTTTTGCCGCTGCGCCCGCCACGCTCGCAGATCGTGGCCTGCCAGCAAGCCCCCCCCCTTTGCACACCGTGCCCCTCGCCTCCGAGGCGGCGGCTCTGTCCCGCGCGCACGGCTGGCAGACGCACCCGCCTCCGTGCACACTGGCAAGCATGGTGCTCCTCGCTCGGAGGGAGGAGCAGCAGCAGCACCACCACCACGGGGGCCACCTCCAGCGAGGAGATCCACCATGTCTCCCCGAGGTGCGGACAGGGGGCGGTGTCTCGTGCGAGGGGGGGGGCCACACCACCAGGAGGACCCGCCCTGGCGCCTCGTGCTGGTACTGGTGGTGCCGCCTTTCCCTCCTCCTTCACGGGCCCGATCGCCCGGAGGATCCAACGCCCTCAAGAGTCATGACAGCTCCGAGGTTCCAACCAGACCTCTCGACCCATGAGCTTTTCATGACCTTTCTCGGGCCAGATCGACCCATGAGCATCGCAAGGCCAGGACAGAACGAATTAGCCAGTGAGGAGGGATGAGGAAGGCCCTGCCCCGACGAAGAACAAAACAATGTATTGACAGAAGTTTCAGGGCACCGCGCAGATTGCTCGGATTGGCGCTGGGCCCCCTCTGGCGCCACCGGCGTCGCCCCTGGCTGGCTCCACGCGCCAGCTAGTGGGACCCAGCGCATATCCAAGACATCCACGCGGACCCCGGGAGTTGATGTTTACACATTTTTCTGTTTCTTGTTGAGGAGTGGGGGTGAGGAGGAGCCCTGCCATTCGAAAGTGCACGGGTCCGGGTACGGTCCGCATCACTCACCCGCGGCATGCTTTTGCAGCATGGTCCCCGCCGCTGTGCTTTCCTGTGGCCCTGAAACTCCAGGGCCAGCCTTGACGCGCCGACTGGACTGGGTGCCTGCATGCGCCTGAACCGGCGTCATCCTGTGCTTCCTTCTTCCCACTCGTCCTCCGGGTCCTCGCGCCTCTCTCCTCACGCCAATCTTCTTCCGCCCCCCCTCCTTTTCTTCCTTGTCCTTCAGTCCCTCGTCGTTCCTTCTGTTCCACATCCGCCTGCTCCCTTCCCCCTTCTCGTCCGCCCCCCCTCGTTTTCCTCGCCTTCCTCGCCAATCTCGTGCTCCATCTCATCGTTTAATATGCAATTGCTCCTCCATCGTCCTTGTCGTCCTGATTCTCTCTCTCTCTCTCTCTCTCTTTCTCCCTGTCATCCTCCACACCCCGACTCCCCATCCTCCGCCTCTCCCTCTTCCGTCGTTCTCCTTGTGTTCCTCACCGTTCGCATCTCAAGCAACTTGGGTTCGAGCACCATTTTGGCAGCTCGACGCTCCAAGCTTTGCGCCTTCCCGTGGCGCTTGGGGGGCAACTCACTCGCCGCTCAGACCTCGGGCGGATAGTTGGGCTGGCGAAAGCGAGATGGCGCTGGTGCGCCCCACGGACGAAACAGCATGTCCAAACCGTGGAGCACATGCGCGTCCTGTGGCACGCAGGAGTATAACGCGAAGTTGCAGAAAAACTCCTGGCAAGTGCTTCGGATGCAACAGGCCAGTAATACTGTACGCGCCGAAGCCCGAGCGAGGCGGAGGCGGCGAGCAGCAGCAGCCAGGCTTGCAGAACGTCGGCGACGGCAAAAAGGACGTCTCGGACACCATTCACATGCTGGTGGCGGCCATGTCGGGGATGACGGACCCAGCGAGCAAGCAGGCACTGGCAGAGCAGATCGCGGCGGCGGAGAGGGCAGCGGCTGCGCCAGCCGTCCCCGCCGCTTCGGCGGCCGAGGCGGTCCGCCGCGCCGAGGGCGCGTGGAAGGACGCTTCGGTCAAGCACTCCCAAGCAGCGATGCATGTCGCCAAGTGCCAGAAAAACTCGAGGAAGGCGCAGCGCAAGGAAGAGGAGACAGCCCGAGCGCTGGCGTCGGCGGAGATCAACAAGCGCACGGCAGCGGTGGCCCTCGCCCGCGAAGTGGGCGTGGCCACGGCGAGTTCAGGCGAGAGCAAAGGTCCCGACGGTCAGCCTACGTCGGCCACCAGCCCGCCCATGGTGAACGTCACGTGGGACGAACAGTTTTTTTCCAGCCAGCTCGGCTCCATGGAGGAGCTCGCCGACCAGGAACGGAAGGAGTTGAAGGCCTTGGAGCGCGCGCTGCTGCAGGTGAAGGAGTGCGTCGTGTCCAAGGCCGAACAGTCGGCTAATGGCGCGACGAGATGCTGGCGCTGCGCGCCAAGGTTCAGGAGCGGCAGGCGAAGAAGCGCAAGGCAGACTCCGAGGACCTGAAGGCGCCCACCACAGCAGTCGGTGGCGACGACGGGGGCGCGGGGCCAGAGGTGGCGGCGCCCGAGGCGTCTGAGGCGGCCGACGTCACCATGGGCCCCCGTTCCGAGAGCGCGGCGGCGGCGAGTGCGGCCGCGGCGGCGGCGACGCCCGACCAGGCCAGCGGCCCCGCGGAGGCCGAGATCCAGGCGGAGATGGACCGCACGCGCGCTGCGAGGTCCCGTGGGGAGCGCGCGGCGAAGGATGCGGCAGGCCCCCCCAAGTGATGCGCGGCGACGGCGCCTTATTCCGCGGAGGCGGTCGCCACCCAGTCGCGACGTCCACCAGGTGCTTCGGCCTCGGGGGCGTCCGGTTCGGACAGCGAGGCGGCCTGCAATATGGTATTTCAGTAACGTCACTTGCTTAGGCCCGAAGTCTTGGGACTACCTCAAGACCGAGGACGTCCTCAGCAAGTTTTCTTTCCTTGGCACCGTTCAGAGTTACGTCTGCAAGCGCGCTCGGGCGAAGTGGTCGCGACGGGCACGGGCTCTCGCGCTCAAGTTCCTGGACAATCCTGCGCGGGGCACAGGGAGGTCGACCTCGGTGGTGACGGAGGGGCGCGCCAACGAGGGCGGGGGGATCTTCTTTGCACGGGGCCACAGGAACGCCCACCGAGTTTTTGATCAGCCTCGAGAAGGAGCTAGCAGCTACTGCGCGGAGGGGTCGTGCGCCTTGGACGGCTTCATCCCCACGCTCGTGCGCGCGAGTGGCTTCTCTCTGCTGATCGTATTGTTTTTTTGCGCGCGTCCATCTGTTCAGTTCGCAGGTGGAAATACCCAGAACTTCTGCAAGTTAGGTGCGCCCCTTAGATAGGTGAAGCTCCCTTGGCTTGTGGCAGGCGGCTTTGCCCATAGACGCGGATATTGTAACCAGAAGCGACTTCTGCAAACGTGTCGGCGGAGTGATTCGCAGGCTGATGTCGAGCGCACTTGCGTCGGGGGGCCGGGTACTTCGCGCGTAGATTTCGCCATGGTTTCAGAATATGGCATCCCGTACATAAAGAGCGTCAGTGCAGTAGTAGATGCGCCGCAGGCGCCACGCGTCGGCCCGGCAACGCAGCTGCGAGGGGCTGGGGGCCCGCTCGCATCCAGAATCTTAGATGTAGCAGCTCGTTTGCCTCAGGTTGCCCGGCCGTCAGTCTCAGCGGTGGCAGGCTCGAAGCCCAGTGCCGGGCAACGGGCAGCGGCGGAACCAAAGAAACGTGAGCGGATTCGTACTGACTGCGATGAGTTGCATGGCGAGGTGTTGGGCAGCGCGCCTCGTCACGTCCAAGACTCTGGAGCTCTTGACCCTTCGGCTGCGGTTTCGTCCGAGGTCGTTGGCGGAGAAGCCGAGGATCCCCAGTGTCCAGAATTTGGTATTTTTGAGTTCGGCCCCGAGGGGGAGGGCCCCTGGGCTGGCAAATCCTGCTTTGCCCCGTGTCTTCTTGTTTCAAGGGCACTGCTAGCACTGCTAGCAATGTAAATTCGGGCAT